TTTGTGTGGGAGTCTATAGATAGTGAAACCAGGGGAATACTGGCTGTTGAAATAGCATTTTTTAACGGTCGCCCTTGAATGTTTGGGGAAAAACTCTTTAAATTATGAGATCTTCCACTTGTCTTTTGATGTCGAAACTCTATCAAGGCTAATTTGGCTTGGGATGTTGATTTAAAAAGAACCTTTTCGTTTAAAATTTCCCATAGTAACTGTTTCTGAGTTTTGAGTTAGTTAAGTTCGAATCCTTCTCTCATCTCCCCTAATTTCCGATGTTTTTAAGCCGTTCTAACTTTGATGGCTAAAAATATATTAACGAAGTGTTTTGTTTAGATGGAAAAGCCATCATTAAATGCATTATGGTGCAACTGCATCTTTGACCGAAAAATCAGTTTTGCGTGAAGTAATTTTATCAGTTCCAATTTGAGTCGCACATTTATCGGCGCAAATAAGAAAAGTGAACAGCTTCGGTGCGACTTTATATCCACAATAAAAAGTGTCGAAAAGCACTAAAGCTTTATTGATACTCGGAAAATGGTAGGCACTTTTCAGCAGTTGAGGGCTGTAGTAAAACTGCGCCCGACGTGGTGCAAACACTGTCAATTTCACGGATAAAATTAGGCAGTTGAGGCGAAAATAGTGGTTTTATATGGAGTTTTCCAAATGTGATCGGACGTTATTTTACACATTTGGTGCAAATAACCCACTTTTGCCTGCTCATATTTATCAATCTGTACACTTCGACTGATTTTATTGAAGAATATTTTTTTATCATATGGCTTAAGTGTTGGCGCTACCGTTCGAAGATCTACTGATTTTCGAGTTATTAGACTGTCGTCAGTAGCAGTTTGTTCGCGACTTTTTTGAGCACGCATGGCTAGCATCTTCAGAGGTGTGGTTTCCCCTTTAATCAGTCGTTTTTCCAAATGTTTTCCCATTGTTAAACTTCTTTATTCTTATTCGCTTCCCCGCTTTCTATCTGACTTTATCACCGATAATAATGGCCCAAATCACTAATCTCATATTTTTCTACTTGAAAATTTGTTTAATCTCTTGGACTAATAGCTGTCTTTAAATCCGTCTTCAGCAAACATTTTTGTTTATTCTTTATTTTCCGTTCCTTCTTCTGTGCTTTTGTTACTGAAATGTTATTTCTTCTATTGAGAAATGTTATTTCTTGTCCGTGAAAAAAAATTCACATCATTCTCATTAAACCGTTTCTCTTTGAACGTTCTTGATCGAGAGTGAGATTCAATTTTGCTTTCATTCTGTTTGTATCGGTTATTTCCCATTTTTTCCTTTATATTATCTTACTTGTAATCGATTTCTATATTATTCACTGTCAATTTCATGTGACACTATTATTTGCTTCAATACAATCACTTCAATTCAAAGCAATGTTCTTGTTTTGTTGAACTTTCCTTTTAACCACTTGATGAAGTGGTTAAAAAAGCCTGAAAGTTATCGATGGATAACTTTCAGGCTTTTTCCCTTTTGTTGCGTAATAAAAACCTCAATTTTTATCTTTTATCAATCTCTCATTTGCTCTATTTGTTTGCTAATAATTATACTTTTTCAGGAAACTTCATATTTTTTTTTAAATCAGCGATATTATGACTAGATGTGTTTGAAGGCCCTCTAGGATGTCATCTCTATGTATGGATAGTTTTCGTAGAGCTTTACATTTTACGTGAAAACTAGACACTTTCCTAAAATCATGTTTTAGATAAAAAAAAAGAGGCTCTGTCACGAAATGATAACTAGAGCTTCGCAGCTCAACCGATTCTCTAAATAAAAACGATTAAGAACGGTTTTAAGACTATTAGACGTATTAGTCTCAAATTTCCGCATTTTGGGCTGAATTCGGAAAAAAATTCAAAGTTTTATATAAAAAATACGCATTTTTGGGTTCTATATTGCAATGAAAACTTAAATTTTATAGCGCCACCGATTTTCTAAGTTTGAGCCAAGGATTAAGAGCTGTTTTCCGACCCGCATTATTCCTGAATTTCCCCATTTGGCATCAGAAGAAACTTGAAACATTCCTAAAATGATGTTTTACTCGTATGTAAGAAAGTTGAACACTTTAAGGCCGCTTTAAGGTTGTGTGTGTAGGAAAACATGACGCATTACTTACATCTTTTAATTAAAGAAAGTATATTTGTCCATTTATCGTTCTATTACGTAACAAACGTTTTACGGTTTTTTCGGGGGGTTTGTTATGTTATGTTATAAAATGGTTATAAAATCCAGAAAAAAAATTGGCAACCGTCTAGAATTGCCTGACAGAGGCGATAAATCACCTCAAAAGGAAACTAATAAAAGTGGAACGCTGTGAATTGAAACATATCACCCTTCCTGCGCCAGGTAACCAATCAGGCACAATCCCGAAAGATTTAATATGTTCGAAAGGAAATCGAATATCCAGGTTTCGTTTTCGCTGATCGAGAACTATCAAAAATCAGTAGGGCCCGATTAATGGCTGGATGCAACTGATAAATGATCTCAATTCAAAAGGCCATAAATGCTTTTTGCCTGTGCTCTAAACTGCGTTCCGACGAAATTGACAAATGCAGGTCCGATGTGTTTTTCAAATAATTACCGTAATTTGTTTTATTACTCGACCAGCTATTTATCAACTGCGCAATTGAGCGCGTATTCAACTAATCTATATACGATTCATTTCAAGCTGGATGTATGGAGGATTTGATTTGAATTGAAAACTTGTTTTCAAATGAACAAATCCCTCGTAATCTTGGAGCAGGAATTTAATTTGAAATAACAGCCGGAATTTTCATTTCCATCTTCTTAAGTCGGAGAAATTCTGAGACATTATTCAGCCGCCCAACTCACGCGAAAATAAATGCATTTTATACCGCACTATTAGTAAGAAAATGGGTCATTAAGAGCACTGGGAGACCCTCTAAATGAGGACATTTATCAGACGGGCTAAAAAAATGGGCAGCTGACTTAACTAACCGAAAAACGGGTTTTCAGGAATAAATCCGAAAATGTGTTGAATGCTTACAGTTTTCCAGGGGAAAAGTTCAAAGTGGCTGCAAATGGAGCTCAACTATGCAATCGCAATAAATTTTACCTGCAATATGTAGATTCCTTTGGACAGTTTTCAGAGAGCAATGCAAATAACGCAGTCTTAGAAATGCGGCAGGAAACTTTGATATACGAGCATGTGGCCCTTTGCATGCCCGTTTAAAATTCATATTTGGAACTTTGAGGAGACACACGCGATTTGAGTAGAAACTTGTTCGCAAACTCCCGTCGGATTGCGTCGTCAAGACGGAATGAAAAATTTATGAAGGTATTTGAGGATTTCGGAATAAGGAGTTGAAAATGAGATGAATGCACCTTCTATATATGGCTAGACTTGAAGTTTACTCAACTTGTTATTAGAAGATTTTGCTCCAAAAAAACACAACTAGAGTAATTCCGGGAGAGATGAACCACCTTTTTTGATTCGACTTTTTTGAATATGTTGTCACAGACGTAAAAAAAATGTTGTCACAAACATTTTAACTAACTGCAATCAGAACTTTAACTAAAGACTAAAAACTCGGACACATTTGCTGACAAAAAAATAAAATAAAAAACCGTTATGTGGTCCAACTAACCCGAAATCTGCGGGATAGTTGAACCACCAATTTGGGACAGTTGGATCACACAGGGAGAGATGAACCGTAACAAAGGATAAGTAACAAAATTAAACTTAATTAATTTTTTAATTAATAAGTTTATTTGCGACATTCATTGCACATATTTTCAGTTTATACACGACTCATGAAGCCACCGGGTGCACGACTCATGAAACACCTTCAGCAACTCTTATGCTAAGATCTGAACTACTATCGTCGCTTCATTTTCTTCTCCTAAAGTAGGCGAAGAACTCAATGAGCCAGTTTTATAGTTTTCCCCACGGCTTTCTTGTAATTAGAGTAGCTTTGGGAATATTAAATTGTCTGGCTGCGGCATTGACCCCCATTGTTTTTGTATCTACAGCCTCTACAGCATTTTTGAGATCTTCTTCGGTCCATCTAGCTCTTAGTGAGCTCAACTTCCGTTGATATTTTGTAGGCATTGTATAAAACAGAAAAATAAAAACCGGTTCAACTGTCCCGATTTACTCTGGCCCATTTATCCCAAATTTCGGGGATAGACGGACCACCCAAAAACAAAAAATCTATGTATTAATCGGCTTTTACATCATTTACGTTGTCCAGATGGATACCATTCAATGCATTTTTAACCACAAATCGCATTTTAAAACTTTCTTTTAGTTAGAATCGCACCTTCAAAATACCGTTAAAAAAATTTCTACCATGTGTAAATGCAGAAACAAATCAAGCCACTCCCGAAAATTAACTACACACAAACGGAGTGCAACTGGTAGTCGTTTGTTGACGGGGTAGCGTTGAAATATTCTTCCTATACCATGTACAGTCGAAAATACCCGACTACTCAAAGACTTAAAAATTGAACTCTGTCTTTTTTGTTCAATGAAATTCAAGTCTAGCCAGACCTAAGTCTCCTTATTCCGAAAGCCTCAAATGTCAATTGATAAATTTTTCATTTTTTTCAATCATTTTATGAAACCGACCTAAAAAATCATTGTGCAGAATGGGACAAAAATCTTTTAACCATATTTCTAAGGCGAATGACAATTTTTTAAAGAATCATGCTTAATACTGTGTAATCGATTGCGATGACTGGATCCTATTAGACTTATGCTATCTATGACGTGGAGCAAATTCGGGAAACCCTTTCCTTAAACGAAGGCATTTATCAGGAACATGCAGCCATTAATCTTTGCGTGGAGTTTCCAGAGGGACAATGAACGTATCCAGGAAAATGCACTTTATTAATTCCCTTACCACTGGGCTTTTGGCTGACGAATTCCATTATCTCGTAGCCAACAGGGACCAGTCGCGACTAGCTGAGGAACGCGGTTTTCCATTGATTTCTCCATTCTGGCATTTCGTTCCTTTCAGAAGGTCCGTTCCAGTCCGATGCGCTTCTCGTTCCCGAAAACTGCATGTTCGACCACATTCACAACCAGAGCAACTGCTGGACCTTTGGAAGATGGAACGCAACAGCTGGAACTGCTTGCCAGGACAAAAAATTGCAGTTGAGGTCGTTTGCCATGCTGTTGCCTTGTGGAATTTCTTTGTTTAGTGGAGTGGAGTTTGTCTGCTGCCCCAAACACTTCAAAGGTAAATTTCCCTTTCAAATACGCTAATCAAGCCAAAATTTGTTGTCCGCTCCAGAAAGTGTAAAACCCAAAAAGCCCGTCGAGTTGGCCATTCTGAAAAAAGAACAGGATGTGTTTTCCGAAGCTCTGGATGATAGTGATGATGACTCGGATGAAGATGACAGCAATGATGATCTGGAGGATGTGGCTGATGATACTGAATTGTCCGATGAACCGAGTATTGACGACGAAGACGATGATGAGGAAGATGATGATGGTAGGCAATCAACCGATCACTTCTGGTCCAGAGACTTTGAGGACTTTTTTTAGATTACGATGACAGCGATTGGGACACGACGTCGCAAAGCACCACTATTGGCATGAAGGTACCAACCACTTCAGCTACAACCACGACCACGACTACCAGTACCACTACAACGGAAAAACCCACCACGGAAGCCACTCCAGATCCATATTTCACTCACTTTGATCCTCGAAATGAACATAACAGCTATAAGGAAGCGCAGGTGAGAAAAGTTTGAAAAGAGAGTCGGTTGAACGCGACTAATATTGTTGAAAGTTTTGAAGGAAAGTTCGAATTGAAGACTTCTCTTGAGAAAATTGAACAATATGCTGTGGTCCCACGTTCTCGCCAATGCGCACTGTGGAACGTTTTTTTTGGTGTTCCAGGAACGTCTGGAGGAAACTCACAGAGAAAAAGTAACCAGAGTGATGAAAGACTGGTCGGACTTGGAAGAGCGCTACCAAGATATGCGCTCCACCAATCCCAGAGGAGCTGACGAATTCAGGCAGAGAATGACGCAGAGGTTCCAACAAACCGTGCAGGCTCTGGAAGAGGAGGGAGATGCGGAAAAACACCAGTTAGCCGCCATGCACCAACAAAGGGTGTTGGCGCACATCAACCAGAGGAAGAAGGAAGCGATGTCGTGCTACACACAGGCTTTGAACGAAAGTCCACCAAACGTAAGCCTGCTCATCTAAACCACCCCATGTGAGGTCACAAAAAAACGATTATTCTTTGGGTTCAGACCCACAGAGTCCAGAAATGTCTGCAAAAGCTGCTGCGCTCTCTTCACAAAGACCGAGCCCATGCCATCTCCCATTACCGCCACCTTTTGGCCGGCAGCATCGAAGCTGCAGCTCGAGAACAACCCAGCGTCTTGGAACGACTCACTGATATCGACCGAACAGTAAACCAGAGCATGCAGATGTTGAAGCGCTACCCTGATCTGGCTTCGAAGATTGGTCAGTTGATGGACGACTACATTCAAGGTAGGCCTGATTGCTCCCCAGAAACATGCAGAATGTTTTCCACGCATGCATTGAAATAATCCCCATCATTTAGCGCTGCGATCGAAAGATGAAACCCCTGGATCCCTTCTAGCTATGACCGCTGATGCCGAGCAGGCCATCCTGGATAAGTACAAGGCGGAAATTGCCACCAAGCAGGCGGAACGGGAGCGGCAAAGGTTGCAGGAGAAGGAGCGCAAGGAGCAGCGCAAGAAGGAGCGAACGGTGTTAAAGGAGGAGAAGAAGCGGGTTGAGGCAGCATTGGGCAAGAAAATCAGCAACATCGACGATGAGGATATTGAGGACAATTCCGTTGATGAGAAACCTTCAGTAAGACTTTCAGAAGATTATAATTGAGCAGTTTCATACGTTGGCTTTTCAGACCCCGGTGTTTGTGGTGTCGACTGCTGAAAGCACTGCAGCTGAAACGGTAAGTTATTTGGCAACAGCAACCCCAACCAGTCACAAGGAGGTGGATGATGTGGCAGTCCAGGAGGCTGTAGAAGAAGTTGCCAAAGCTGCCACCCATAGACAGGATGTTATTAGAGTTGCCCATGTTATGTCGCATGAAATAAGCCATGGGGAACCGGTAAGAATGTGCAACCTTTCCTTAATGTGACCAAAAAAAAATTTATCACCCGCATAACTAAGGCTGTTTTCACATTTAGGAATGTTTTCCGGGCTTTGAAGCCGTGGTCTATGGGAATTTATTCCTGACGTTTCGTCCACAACTGCGGTGGACATTATCAAAGGCGATGAGGCAGTGGGCGAAGTGATTTCCCGTGCTTTCCGACTAAGACTGATTCAACTGCCTTGGACATTATTTACTTCAGACAAATTTTTACAAATTTCTTACTGCTAACTTATCTACGAGTCTTAATTCTAACATCTTTAGAGTGTTTTACACTCTGTG